CCAAGGGGCGCCCCAAGAAACAGTGCAGAAAGGATCCTGGTAATCCTTATTAATTAAGTAATTCCGAATTAGCATTCAGGGTTTTTGGTTTCACTTTGAAACAAAGAGTTCCTTGGGGGCGAGGAATATCTCTCAGTGGTTCCCCTGACGAATATTCGTCTCAAAGAGACTTGGATCCTATAAATCCTCTTATGGGGATCCCGGGCAAGCCCCTAAATGTTGTGGGCTCATAATCAATATAGGAATCCAATTAAAATTTGAAGACCTTTAATAGCTGAGCTCAGTGATCGTCAGCATAGACCCGTTTCAGAGTCCAAGTGAGTGGCCCCAACCAGAGAACATGAAGAGTATATAAATAGGAGGAGAAAGGAAGCACACACAAAGAAAATATATATTACATCCTGCTTGTCAACCAGTTAGATTAGCACACATCCTGCTTGTCAAACAGATTTTTTTTTTTTTTTTTTTTTTTTTTGAGAAGAGTCTACAGGGTGTTCAGGGTCTCTCTACTAGATCAGACTCATAGTGATCTGCCTGTTTACAGCCTCCCAAGTACTGGGATTACATGCGCGCGCCACCACGCCTAGTCTCAATTGCCATCTCAGCATGCCCCGTGGGCGGGGCTGGCACAGCAGGCCCAGGGATCAGACCCTGGCCCCTGTACCTGCTTGCAGGAGCTTTAATCTGCTGAGCTATTTGGCCAGCCCCCCCCCCCTTTTTGTATTTAGAACAGGGTCTACAGCGTCTCACTGCATAGATCGGACTCACAGTCTTCCTCCTGTTCACAGCCTCCCAAGAGCCAGGATTACAGGCACGCATCACCACGCCCAGTCTCAATTGCAGTCTCAGCGCCCCAGGGGCAGGGCTGGAAACATATTTTTCTTGCTATACATCTGGCTACTTTTCTTCCTGTTGTTGAGGGCCAGCACTTTCTCAGGGTATATTTCTTCCATATGGTTACTTGCTTTGCATGTAGGTTTGTTTTTACAACTCCGGGGTCAGCTAAAGTTCATTATGGTAATACTTATACTAAGACCCTCACAGTCTCCAGGATGGCAGTGCACGTAGGATGGACCAACCACAAAAGGCGATGCAGTCTGTCCTGTCGCCAGTTGGTGGCGACCTCAAGCTTCTGCTGTGGACTAGCCTCCAGAGGGACGCCCGGCTCGCGTGGTACCTTGGAGTTGTGGCCAGTTTCCTCTTTTGGTCTCCATCTTACGTGGATCAGGGACGCATTCCCAGTCTTGAGATGCTGGCTCCACTCTGCTGCGGTGAACCCGGGGGCTTACCTCAGCTGCCTTTGCTGTAGTCAGGGTGGGCGAAATAAAGGGACACCTTTGGAGGGGTGTAGGGGTTGGACATTCCACACCATCACCCTGCTCAGTATCTCCTAGTTTGAGGGGGTGTCTGTGATTAGCCTCCCAGCAGCCACCGTTCCCCAGCCCAGTGGAGGATGAAGATGAAGGCAGAGCCTAGGGCCCACATCTGTGGCCTTAGGATTAGATTACTCTCTCTTAGATTCCCCTTGTGCTCTTGGGGAGGGGGGCGGGATAAAGGACTTCATAAGGGGAGAACCCCATCTGCTTACTGGGGCTACATTTGATGTTTTTTATTTTGTTTTGTTTTGTCTTTTTGAGACAAAGTCTCCCCATGCAGGCTTGAGTTCAGTTTGTAGCCCAGGCTGGCCTTAGACTTGCACTGATCCTCCCTCCTGCCTCAGCCTCCTGAATGCTGGGATTTCAGGTGTGCGCCCACATGCCCAGCCACACTTGATTCTTAGCAAGGCAGCTGGCAGTACCTGGTCCCGGTGTAGATGGGTCTCCTGATGTTTACTTAGTTGCAGCTTCAGGCCCTTTCCACCAGCTGCGCCAGGAACTGGCCAGTCCCATACAGACAGACGTCCGGTGGAGGAGTGATTTCTTTTAGAAGTCAGGCCTTGACTGTGTGAGTAGGGAGAGGCTCTGCCCAGCCCAAGAAAGTGCACACACAAACCATCAGACATTCGCAGCCTCAGAGCCAGGGAAACGAGCGGGCACAGAGGTCACTCTGCAGCCACAGGTCCTGACGTGGGCCCCCCAAGCTTGAGGGAGGCAGAGGGGTCAGCATAGCGCCAAACAAAGGCCCCAAGAGCTGAGCGTTCCCCGCAGTGCAGCGGTTCATTAAGTACTGATGACATTCACAGTAAGACAGGGGAGCTCGCCAGGGCATAAGCTGCAGGCTGAGGCGGTGCTCAGTCCATACGGGATCGTCTTTGCACCCAGCTGCTGGCCCAAGAAGCAGCACTGGGCCTGGAGCTTGAGCACAGGCCTCGCAACAACCCGGAAACCAGTGCAGCAGGGAGCCAAGGGGGCTGCTGGACAGGCAAAGTGACCGTCACAGCTGCAGAGCTCGAGTGGCAGCTGTGCAAGGAGCAGCACTGGGGCAGTCCACAGCAAGCCAGACACTGAGCCGAAGAGCAGCTGGAGGCTTCTGTTCTGGTGCTGTGGGGAGTCTGGTGCAAGCAATGTGTGCTGAGCTTACAGCGGTGTGCCAGTAACATGTGTGTGTGTGTGTGTGTGTGTGGCCAGCTCAGCCCACCAGGGGGCGGGTTGGGCTGGCATGTGGTGCTGGGGATTGAACCGCGGTCCCTGTGCTTTGCTAAGCTTGTTCTAAGTAGGTGCTTTAGACCACTGAGCCATCTCCCCAGCCCCTATATTTTAATACAGGGTCTCACTATGTAGTCCATGCTGGCCTTGAACTCACTTTTTAGCCCAGGCTCGTCTTGAACAGAGATCCTCCCGCCTTAGCCTCCCAAGTGCTGGAATTACAGGCTTGCGCTGCCATGCCTGTCATATTTTTCTTTAGGGCAAGATAATTCTTTTTTGGGAGAGGGTCTACAGGATGTTCAGGGTTTCACTACTACATGAAACTTGTAGTGATCCGCCTGTTTGCAGCCTCCCAAGCGCTGGCATTACAGGTGTGCACAACAGGCCCAGTCTCAATTGCAGTCTTAGCATGCCCCATGGGCGGGGCCGGCAGGCCTGGGATAAAAAAAATTTTAAACAATTTTATAAGTTTCTTGGGAGGGTTCACAATGGAAGTTTTTGGCATACAGGCTGTATGGTTATCACACTGTATAGTTGACACACACATGCACACTGGCCATGTGGGTTTTTTTTTTTTTTTTTTTCACAACCATGGATTGAACTCAGGCCCTTGCGCTTGCCAGGGAAGCGTGTATTCCACTGAGCCATCTCCCGCCCTTGGCCATGTGTTTAATCACAAGCTAGTTTACACTGAGAGAGCGCAGAACCAGACAGACTCGTGATGGCTTCTGTCCCGCTCAGCAAGTCCACACCACATCCTCAGACGAGGCTCCCCTGGCATTCTGTACCCCGGGAGCAGCCTGGGCTTGTTCTGGGCGCAGCTTTTTCACTGCTTGCACCCTTCTTGGCTGGAGTGTCCTCCTTTGTCCTCCTCGGGGCCCCACCAAGTCACCTGTAGGGCCTGCGGCTTTGCTGCTGACAAGGCCCTGGGCCACGTGGCCTCTTCCTCACTGCCTGTGGCTTGCTGAGTGTCCATTCTTCCAGCGGCCCTCCCGGAGACAGTAAACACAGGGGTCCTGTCCTAACTTGGGGCGAGGTGACCCTCCCCGCCACTCCCATTTTTGGCCCCATCCTCATCCCTGCAGCGCACCTTTCCGGGAGTGTTCCGACCACTGCACCGAGGCACCACCAAGAAGTCTGCCTTCTTCTGAATCTTCTGGTGCATGACACAGAAGACGCTGCACGGCATCAGTCCCCGCCCAGGTGGGATGGCACAGAAGACGCTGCACAGCATCAGTCCCCGCCCACGTGCATGGCACAGTCGACAAACACCATAGCTGCTACTCAGCGCACCCCAAGAAACTGACACTGGATTTCACAGAACGTCCAGAGCTTTCCGGAAGTTAATTTCATCGCACTTTCCTGAATATCCCTTTTTGAAATGCCTCAACATGCATCCTAGGGGAGGGAGTGGGTTCGCTCCGCTTACCACCCCCTCCTCCACCCTAACGTTTTCGGCTGCTCTCTTCTGGGAGACCCTTCAGGCGCTTCCAGGCTTCCGCAGCATCGGGCTCCGCCCCCAGCCGGACTCCGGAGGAAGCCTGGCGCGTCGGGCGGGAACCTGCTCGCTGCCTCCTGCACACGCAGTCATCTAGCGTTGGAGCTGGGGTTGCGTTTCTTAGCACAGGGCTACCAAAAGCAAGCCGGTGTTACCAGTTCGTCGGACGTCGCGGCCTTCGCCAGGTGAGGCCGCCCCTCAGAGCCCGCCCTGGGGTCTGCACCGGGGCGATCAGGGCGGTGACCCGGCCTCCGGGGCCGAACCCCAGGGGATTGCAGGATCCTCGCAGAGATGGTTCATGGAGGCTTGTCTTTCTCGAAAGCAAGGGTAGTCCTTACTCCTGAGCGCGGGCTCGGGGGCTAAAACCCAAAAGGTGACGCCTTAAGCATAGTGGGGTTTTCGCCTCTTACGGTTTTTGTCTGTCTCACACGGTAACATGGCAACGCACTGCAGGCTGACGGGTACAAGGCGTGAGTGAGCGTCAGAACTGCACCTGAGTGCTGAGGGACTGACTGTGCCGCATTCCTTTGGGAGGAACCCGACCCAAGTAGCTGGGATTGCAGTGGACCATCCCTTCCACCACGCCCGGGTGAAAGTTAGCTTTGCCAAGATAAAACGCATTGATCTGAGTTTATGGCAGGGAAAAAAACACTGGACCGAGGAGGACGAACGCCAACTTCGAATCCTGAAGGCTTTACAGCCGTTGACGCACTGTGTGCGAGCTACACGATTCCCCAGAACCCTCGTCCACCGGTGTTTCTGTGGCTAACCGGCCGGGAACAGAGTTCAGGCTGCGGGACGACAGCACTACTGCAGCGAGGAAGAAACAACTCCGGGCACCTAATCCACCGGTGCGCAAGGGCAGTCGGGAGGGGCGTGGCCACGGGGGTCACGTCCGTCCTTCATGAATCTGATTGGTCAGAGCGCTGCGGTGCTCCTGATTGGTCAGGTCTTCTACTACCCCAGGGTGCTTTGCGACAGCGCTCCTTTTGGTTCCGCCGATCCGCGGCCTAAGAGGTGAGTTTGTGCCCCCGTCGCTATCGGGCTTCATCCACCACCATCGGCCCCGTGTTGTCACTAGCTCGGCCATGAAGGACGCTCTTCTCAACAATAAACGGCGCCCGGCAAAGGCCGGGCAAGCGGGCTTGGGGCGGTGGCCCAGGACGCGCGCCCTCACTCGCCGCCCTCTTCCTCGCGACCATAGGCAGTCATGGCGCCCAGCCGGAATGGCATGATTCTGAAGCCCCACTTCCACAAGGACTGGCAGCGGCGTGTGGCTACGTGGTTCAACCAGCCAGCTCGGAAGATCCGCAGGTGGGGGGCTGGTGGAGGGGCGCCCGGGGGGTACGGCCCGCGAGGGCTGGGGCCGAGCTGACCTGACCTCCCCCTTTCTCGGAGCAGGCGCAAGGCCCGGCAGGCCAAAGCGCGCCGCATCGCCCCGCGCCCCGCGTCCGGGCCCATCCGGCCCATCGTGCGCTGCCCCACCGTGCGCTACCACACCAAGGTCCGAGCCGGCAGGGGCTTCAGCCTGGAGGAGCTGCGGGTGAGTGGGGCGGGCCCTCCCGCGGGGCTGCGGGGCTGCGGGGCTGCGGGGCCCAGTGGCATGATGACAGTTCTCCGGAATCGCTGACTGCCTTGATGAAAGCGCATTTGAACCCTTTTCCATCTGACCACTGAGGGCTTTTGTCGGGGCCTGCCATGGAGGGACTCCATGGGCTCCAACCGTGCCTGTCTCGGGCAGGTGGCCGGTATTCACAAGAAGGTGGCCCGGACCATTGGCATCTCGGTGGACCCGAGGCGGCGGAACAAATCCACCGAGTCCCTGCAGGCCAACGTTCAGCGGCTGAAAGAGTACTGCTCCAAGCTCATCCTCTTCCCCAGGAAGCCATCGGCCCCCAAAAAGGGAGACAGCTCGGTGAGTGCAGCGAGCTCTGCCCTGCGAGAGGCTGCCCCACCCCGACCCCACCCCGCGCTTCCTGTGGCCTTGGCTGTGCAGAACCCCGTCGCCATGACAGGAGGGGTTTTCAGGCCTCAGAACATGTCTGTTGGCCCCCGTCCTGCCCTGTGAAAGCTGTGGAGCTTCGCTGAGATGTTTCGGGTCCAGAGATTCCTTCCTCAGAGACTGGCCGTGTCCTGTCTGGCCTTCCTGTGGCTTGGTCAGGGAATGACTTTGTCATTAGGGGATGCATTGCCAGCACGAGAAAAGCTGCAGCTTTTCCCGTTGGGTTGAGAGTCTTCCCACAGAGGGTGTGCGCATGGTGCGGGATGCCCAGCCAGGGCTCCCGGTGACAAGCGTGAGGGCCTCGGGAGGGTAAGGCTGGGCTCACTGTCCTCTCCTTGTTAACGCACAGGCTGAAGAACTCAAGTTGGCCGCCCAGCTGACAGGACCTGTGATGCCCATCAGGAATGTAAGTGGACAAGGAGCTTAGGTTGTGGGTGGGTGTTGCCAGCTGTCTGATGGTGAGCATTTACGGGTTATGGAAAGCAAGGTCGTCACAACATTGGGAAGGCGAAAACTCCTCGGTTCTTAACAGATGGGCTCCTGATGGCAACCTGAGGTTTTGGTGTTCCTCATTTGTTACTCGGTGTTTTTTGTTTGTTTTTGGCTTTTTGAGACAGGGTCTTGCTTTGCGGCGCAGGCTGGCCTTGAGCTCCCTTTGTAGCCCAGGCTGGTCTCAAGCTTTCAGTGATCTTGTGAGTGTAGGGATTACAGGTGCATGCGCCCCCACGCCTGGCTTTACTCAATTCTCTTGATCTCCATTACTGTTTGAAAGCCTGGGTCACAGGCAGCCCTCCAGAAACCCTGTCCCCTTGCCCAGCAAGTGGGTGAACACTGGAGGGTGACTCAGCCTCTTTGTGTCCCACAGTAGTGCCTGTCTTCCTCTTCTTTTTCTTTTTTTTTTTTTTTTTTTTTGCGGAACCAGGGATTGAACTCAGGCCCTTGCGCTTGCCGGGCAAGCATTTGTCCTACTGAGCAGCTCTCCAGCCCCAGTAGTGCTTGTCTTATTGCCCCCTGCACCCATGGGTGGGGGACAGCTAACCAAGTCAGAAGTAGTGTTAGGGTTTTTGTTTTTATAACAGGATTTTACTGTGTAGTTCAGGCTGGCTGCACTGGCAGTGATCCTCTTGCCTCAGTCTCCTGAGTGCTGAAATTGCAGAGGTGTGTCACCACGTAGCTTTAAAATTTCTAGGGGCTGGTGAGATGGCTCAGTGGTCTAAAGCACCTACTTAGAACAAGCTTAGCAAAGCACAGGGACAGCGGTTCAATCCCCCAGCACCACATTCCAGCCAGCCCCACTCCCTGGTGGGCTGAGCTGGCCACACACATAAATAAATAAAATAAAATTAAAATCTTAAAAATAAAATTACTAAAATTAGTGGAATATGGTTAAGTATGCTTACGCCTCCTTCCTCTGGAGGGTCTTAGTGGCTGTGAGTTCAAGGCCAGCGTCAATTACACAGCAAGACCCTATCTCTGGTTTCTAAAGTTTTTGTTAGTACGTGTTTGTAGTTTCTCATGACACTGGGCAGCTGGTGCGTGTACATAAGAAGCCTCAATTGCTTTTACATAGTTCTCGTGTACGGTTATGTACTGGCTGCAAGCAGTGCTTAAGGGCAGCCTCAGCAGCGCTTGGCACCGAGCCAGCACCTGTGAGTCCACCGAGTTCTCTGGGTGTGAGCCTGACTCCTGTCCTCCCTCCTAGGTCTACAAGAAGGAGAAGGCCAGGGTCATCACAGAGGAGGAAAAGAACTTCAAGGCATTCGCCAGTCTGCGCATGGCCCGTGCCAACGCCCGGCTCTTTGGCATCCGGGCGAAGAGAGCCAAGGAAGCCGCAGAGCAGGATGTTGAGAAGAAAAAATAAAACACTGTTGGGATCTTGTAATAAATGCTCAGAAAAGCCACAAGTGCCCCTGGATCCTGCCTCTAAGCAGAGAGAGAGAGAGAGTGTGGCGGGGGTGGAGGGGCGGCTCAGAATGTGCTTGGGCCTGGAGCGGTGACTTAGGTAGAGACACTCGACGTTTCTGGTGACCAAACCTGGACCTCACATGCATTGGGTGTGCTGCCCCAGACCTGGGGTTCTAGCCTTAGTGGCTTGCTTCCCAGTGTTCACCTGCTGCTTGCAGGGTTCGTTGCTCAGCGAGGTGGCAGCAGTGTGCTACTTGAGGACTCCAGTTGCCATGTCTCTCTTGGAAATTGCTGAGCCAAGTCTGGGTTGCCAGAGAATGGGCCTGCGCTTGTACCCGACCCAGACTTGGCTGTGGTCTAGGGACACTTGCTCTGCATGTTCCTGTCATAGGTGGAGAGTTTGGCCTAGCCCACCCAGGAGGAGGTTCAGTGTGGGGGAGCAGAGGGCAGGTCCTGGAGTGAGGTCCCCACTCAGCGCCAGCCCAGTAGCTCCACAGTGCTGGGCTAGGACAGGCCTTGCCAACTGTGCTCTCCTGGGATAGGTCCAAGGGGCCATGGATAGGCCCTGGAGAAGAGACTGGAACACCCACGGTCAAGGCCTGTGGTGCTCATGCCCACAGAACTGGGAAAACCAGGCAAGGCCTGGTGGTGGCCTGTCTTGGGGACGCTGTGGTGAGCTGTGTAACCTGTGGTCTGAGCCATCCCCTGGCCTACTGTTCGTGTCCTGCTTTCACATTCTTCCCACACTTGAACCTCTGCCAGCTCGATGTGGAGTGCCCCAGCCTGTGCCTCTGGGGGTCATCAGGGCACCCTCCTGGCTGGTGGCTGCACTGCACCCCTCCCGGAGCTAAGGGCTGCCTAGTGAAAGTTCAGAATCCCCCCGCCCCATTTGATAGTTCCTTGATATGTAACTCAGACTAGACTTATTGTTTCAGTCTCCCCAGCCGGAATTACAGGCATGTGCCACCACGCCCAGTTTTGGGGGCAGCACAGCTTGTGGTGCCAGGGATTGAACTTGGGTCCTGACTGAACTTACTACTCAGTCTGGGGTATCTGGATACTTGGAGGAAGGAGATAGGTGTCCACCCAGAGCGAGGCCTGGGTGTGCAGCAGCGAGGCACTGCCCCAGTGCTCCCTCTCCATCTTAGCTCAAGGTGGGGCGTGGTGTCACGCGTGTAATCCAGTTCTCTGGGACGCCGAGTCAGGACAGTAAATTGGAGCCTCTTTCAAGAGGGGCTGAAGTCCTCTGTGGAGCACCTGCCACCCAGCCTCCAGAGAGCAGTGCACTGTGAAGGCGAGCGGGTGGCTCCAGCAGCAGGGTTTACCTCAGCCACTGCCCCTGCGCGCAGGGTTCCCGCGCACACTGAGCCTTGTGCAGTTGGGACAGCGGCCTCCCTTGGGGTGCTGTGGCTCCCCATGCAAGCTGGGATCTTGGCTCACAAGGGACAGTGGCAGTACCAGGGAATGGAGCTGCCCCGCTTTCTTGCTCAAAGGTAAAAACTTTTAGTTGCATCTCAGCAGAGTTGAGCTGGGAGTGTGCCCAAGGTGCACCCCTGCCTTTTTTTATTTGAAACAGTTGCTAAATTGCTGGGGGGGAGCTTGAAGTTGAGCTCCTCCCACTTCAGGCTGCCAGAATACTGGGGTCACAGTACAGTCCTTCACTCGCTGACTTCAGGGTGTTGTTATTTCTTTCATTCTCTGTGTGTGTGCTTGTGTGTGCGCGCGCGCGTGTGCCTGTGCATGTGCTTGTGTGTGCGTGTGTGCATGCGCGCGCGCCCGAAATTGAGCTCCCGACTCAGGCTTGCCCAGCACTCTTTTTTTAAGGTTACAAGCGTGGCTCAGTGGTAGCGCACGCCCTGCCTGCATCTGGATTTGATCCCCAAAAGCGCTGCCCTATGTACAGCTTTGTGGCAGTGGGCTTGTACAGCAGCTCTGCGTGCCAACCTCAGAGGCCCAGTGCAGAATCTGCCTTTGCGGGTGGCGGGCCCCTCGAAGCCCCGTGTGGGCCCTGGTCCAGCCCCACCCTGTGCCTCCGCTGGGTCGGGCGCTTGTCGCTGTTGCATGCAAGCCTGACAGGGAAGAGGATCGCTCTGTGCGGGTTTCCTCCTGAGCTGGCCCGTGCACCTCCTCTGTGCCTTCCCACTTATCCCCAGCGTGCCCTTCCTGCACCCCCTTCTTGGTACTGTCACACTGTCTGAGTTGCAGCAGCTTTTTGTGTATTAAACCACTTACCACTCCAATTATTTATTTTTTTCATTTATTTTTATAATAAAATACAAAAATGATAAATTGTATCAGATTTCTTCAAGAATTGGCTGGTGACAAGACACCTGCCCAAGTGACACTTGAATAATATACTTTGCCTGTTGTGGATTGCCAACTGGCGGTCAGCTTGTCACACCCAGCTGACCTGAACTAGCATGGTGGGCGTAGGAAGCCACTGAGGATTGTTGCCCACAGCGTGTGAAGCAGAACTGGAGAAGAAGGGAGCCTGTCGGGAGCTGGTGGTTCTCCTGGGCTGTTCTGCTGGGGACCTTGTCATGCCGGCTTCCTGGCGAGCTGAGCTATTCTTGCTGGAAGAGGAGCTTGGGACCCCTCTCACTGAGGATGGCTGTGGTACTTGCCTCGAGCATCGCTTTCTGGCCCCAGTGCAAATCCTGCAGCCTGCGAGCGCAGATCCTTCATCCTGTTGGCACAGACTCGCTAGCTTCCACTAATGACTTTTGGGCCTTCCCAGCACATACCTGTAAAGCGGGCCTGCATGAGACCTTGTCATGGGCTCTTGGTGTCTAGCTCGACTAATGGGGGCATTGTTACAGGCTCTAGGGCTTCAGCTGGACTCATGCAGGGGATTATTGTAGGATCCAGGCCTTCGGCTGGAGTCTTTGCTCTAGCCTGTGTGGACAGATTTATCGCACTCTCTTTGTATGATTCTTTGGGTGAGTTATTTATAAAATATATTCTGTGTTGTATTTTTTTTGCCTTGCAAAAAGCCCAAACTGGGCTGGGGAGATGGCTCAGAGGCATAAGCACCTGCCTGGCGATGCAAAGTACTGCTAAGCTTGATTCCTGGTTAAAAAAAAAAAAAAAAAAAAAGCCCAAACCATAACAAAATCGTTGCCAGGAGTGAGATTATTACTGTGATGTTGCCTAGCCAAGTGATTTGTAAATTTTTGGAATTAATTTGGGCGTTTTGAGAGACTGGCCGAAGAGGCAGCCCTTGCATGCTGTAAACTGTTGAGACTCTGCTTGGGATCTGGAAAATCAGAGCAATGATGGACGCGCTTTCTTAGGGACAGCTGCGCTCGCGGGTTTTGCTGGAGGGGAGGAAGGTCTGAGGGAATCTTGGAGGGAGGGAGGATGTGGCTGAGCCCTACAGTGTGGCTTTGTCGCCTTGCCCCCATTCTCCCTGGGGGGTTTGTCCTAATCTCAGAAACTGACATGCTGCTTGTGTCCCCACATTACCTGTGCTTAACCCTAAACCCTAAATGATAAACCCAAAACCTATCTCCCTGACCTCCAGATTCCCTGTGCAAAACCTTACCCAACCCTTAATGCCTAATCCTAACCATTCCCCCACCCCTAACCCTACCCCAGCTCTAACCCCAGACCCAACCCTAACCCGGGCCCCACCATTCCACACTTCGATGCAGGGCCTGGACCATCCTCACCAACGTGCCCGCCTCTGGGTTCCCAGCATCCTCAGTTCGTGATGTCAGCAGGACTTAGTCCCATCACAGAACACAGCACCTGGGTAACGCGCGGTGCTGCCCCGCTCCATCTCTGGCTCTGTGACACCGACCGCACTCAGGCGTGCTGGCCCGGTCTATGAATGCAGGGCTGTCTGTGGGCAGTGCACACCCCCAGCACATGCACATGCAGCAGGACGGAGGCACAGGCTGGTGAGGTGAGACACTCATCTCCCCACCTCCACCAGCTTGGCCTGCTCTAGGGTGTGTCGCCTCACAGTCCTCAGTCCAGAGCCCAGGGGTGTCCTGCAGAGCCCTGGGGACCTGCCTTTAGGTCGCAGCATTTGGACTGGGTGCCTGGAGAGGGAGCCTGCGGCAGACACAGTGCCAGGTTCCTAGCAACCACAGCTGGGGGAGGAAGCAGTTGCTGCCAGCTGCTGCATTGCGGGGCCATCTGTTACCCAGCGAGCACTGACACATGCACCCACGGTTGCTGTTCCACAGGGGGACACAATCATGAATCATGAGATCTTATCCCTCTGCATGTTTGTGGACACAGAGGGGACAACAGGCAGGAGGAGGGGATGCAGAGGGCAGTGGTCAGAAGGGCAGACATGGGACAGTGGCCAGGACCCTGCCCAAGCCAGGGGTCCCTAGACAGTGGGTGTCCCATGTGAGCATACGGGGCCCCTCTCAGTGTGACCAGCAGGTGACTGAGTGTCCTGCCCACTGTCCAGCCCAAACTGTGAGAACTCCGCCTGGCCCTGCATGCACCCCTGGCGCGCAGTGTGCATGGTCGGGGGCAGTTCGGGCCTTTGTCAGGCCCCGCCCCTGCCCTGTGGCCCCAAGCACATCTGGCAGGGGTGCTGCCCCACCCCACCAAACCCGAATCCCAGACATTTGCAGTGGGGACACAGGAGGCCCAAGGGTAAATGGGGGACAGGCAGGGGCTGAGTGCAGGAGGGGCCCACTGTACCCAGGAGAAGGGATCCTTCCTGGAGTCCGGGATGTGAGAAGAGAGGGCCACTAGGGTACAGGGCTGGAGTCTGCGTGAGCTGCCACGCGAAGAGTGTGCACGTGCGTGTGCCTGGCTCTTGCACATGTGTGAGGAGCACATTGCCGCAGTCCACGTTATGTGTGGGGATAAGCACCCATCACCTGCCTGTGGGCGTATGTACTTTGATAAAGTGTCCAAGGGACCCATGGCCCGACAGTCCTGCCAGCCCAGCCAGTCCGGACATGGTGTCTCCGAAGCCAGACATGCACAGGACCCTGTAGGAGATCAGGGAGGCACTCGACGGTTTCAGATGTTCTGAGGCAACAAAAGGGAGGTCAGCTGCAGCCAGGCTCCTGGGAGCAGTGCCAGCGGTTGTGTGCAGACCCACTGCTCCTTTTTTTTTTGCAGAACCGGGGATTGAACTCAGGCCCTTGAACTTGCCAGGGAAGCACTTACTCTACTGAGCCATCTCCCCGGTCTCCCCCTTTTTTTAAACAACTTTCTGGTTTCTTTTTCTTTCTTTTTTTTTTTTTTTTTTTCTTCTTTTCTTAATGAGACAGGACCTTGCTGTATAGTTTTGGCTGGTCTTGATCTCGCTGTGTAGCCCAGGCTGGCCTCGATTTCACAGCAATCCTCCAGTATCAGCCGCGTGAGCGCCGCGATCACTGGTGTGTACCACCATGCCTGGCTTACCACTCCCTTTTTAAGCCCAGTTAAAACAGGGCATGGTGGACACACCTGTAACTCCAACACAGTGAGTCTGAGGCCACAGATTCACAAAATCCAACTCTGGCAATTTAGTGACCTCCTCCCCTCCCCCTGGTCTCAAAGCAAAAATTAAAAGGATTGGGCTGGGCATGGTGGTGCAGGAGGCAGGCATTGACACCTGCTTCTCTGGCTTGCACCTGGGCCACGGGCAGGGCTTGGGAGACCCTGCACTGATCTCCAGCCGACATTCAGGCTGGCTTGCAGGCTAATGGGGGCCCGCAGGTGGGTGGGGTTGTCTTGCACCTGCTGCCTCACACACTGATTGGAAGCCGTCCCGGCCTGGCTCAGATTCTGGGCCTGTGGTGCCCAAGGCAGGGACAGTGGGCACCCTGGAGGTGTGGGTCCGGAGCCCAGAGCCAGATGCTGGATGGCAAAGCAGGTGAGCTGGGCTGTGAAGGCCATTCTAGACTTGACCGGCAAGAGCAGCCACCCACACAGGCACCGTGGCTGAAAAGCAAGCTGGCTGAGTCCAGGGTGCTCAGGCTGCTCAGAGCATGGGCAAGGATGTGCCCTCCTTCTTCCAGAGCCAGAGGCTTGGAAGGAAAGACCTGGTCGGCCACAGTGAGGACCAGTGCGTTGGACCTGCTAGCCCACCGGGGAAGCCTCTGGGGCTTCCAGTTGCCACTCTGAGGCTCCACACTGAGACAGAAAGCTGTCCCTCACCCTGGGATGCAGGTGATGGCACAGATACGCAGTGCTCTGGGCCTGCAGAGGCCCCCAGGAGCTGGTGCCTGTTTGTAAGGAAAAGACCGCGGGACAAACGTAGCAAGCTGACGTCCGGCTGGAATATCACCGGCTTGGCATGGCTTTCTAATATTTCAGCACTAACATGCGCTATCATTTCCTGTAAACAACAGCAGAGCTCCGTGGGGACAGATCTCATTTCCTGCGTCTGGCTGGGAGCGCGGCTTGGGAACCAGGTACGGTGCAGGGTCTCCCAGGGCCCGGACCCTTCAGGGCTACAGCAGGCTGGGCTGGGCACCCCTCAGGCCTGACAGCTGCAGCAGGCACGGCTCAGAGCCCTGCGGTTTCTCAGATAGCAGCTTCAGGGGCAGCAGCTGCCACGGAGTCTGGGGGCCTGTGGCTGGAGCCCCATGTGTGCATTAAACTCTCATTCAGAGGCTTGAATTCCTAAGTGGGTTGACTTTCCTGGCTTTAGGTTATTTTGGTCCTGGGGACTGAACTCAGTGGTTTGAACTGAGCCTTAGCCAAGCCCCTTTTTATGTTTTCACTTAGAGGCAGGGCTCACCCAGTGGCAGGTTGTCAGGCTGGCCCTGAATCTGTGATGCTCCTGCCTGGGGCTCCCAGAGTGCTGATTCCAGGTGCGCGCTCCACGCCGCATTGCCCGGCTCCCCACCTTCCCGACTTCCCTCCCTCCTCCGTGGGAAGGCTGAGCTTCTGCTCTGCCCCTCAGCTCCCTGGGGGACTTGGTCAAGGAGGGTGCAGAGGGGTGCACGGCAGCACGCGATCCCAGCAGCAGCAGGGCCAAGGGTGGTTCTGGAGGTGGCAGACAGGGTCTTGACTGGGGACAGTGCCCAGGAGCAAACTGGTGGCCCTGGGGTCCACTGGGAACCCCGGAGGAGGCTGAGCCTGCCACTCCCCCTTGGCGTCCGGACAGGGAGGACCTACGCGAGGGCCCCGCCCTCCCCCCGCCGCCCCGCCTACTCTGCCCACCCGGCGTGCCCAGCCACTGTCCCCCGCCCACCCACCCCGCCGCTCCACCCCGGTCCCCCAGCGGCGTCCCCGGCTCTGCACGCGTCCACGCGAGCGGCTCCATTTCCCGGCGGCAGCAGCATGAGCGCGGGCGTGGGGCGCGGGGCCGCGGGCCCAGCGGTGGCGAAAGTGGAGCTGCGGCTCAGCTGCCGACACCTGCTGGACCGCGACCCCCTGACCAAGTCGGATCCCAGCGTGGCGCTGCTGCAGCCATCCGCGCAGGGCCGGTGGACGCAGGTGGGAGAAGAAAGGGGCCAGCGCTGGGCCGGATCAGGGGACGGGCTTGCACGGGACAACGACGGGGCTGGGAAGTGGGCGTTGCGGTCGGCTAGGGTCCTGGGACCCGCGGTGGCCCTGGGAGCTGGGGCAGGGACTGGAGCTCGCAGTGGAGTCAGGGCTGTATTGGGCAGTGAGGTGCAGGGGGGGCCGGTTCTGGGGACCCAGCTGTTCTGCTCCTTCCTGTGGTCTCAAGTTGCCCAGGGCAGTTGGAACCACAGATGCCTCTGGGCTCTGCCGCAGGTGGTCATGGTGCCTGCCAGCATGGTGCTGCAGACAGTGGGCTCAGCAGTGGGGACTGCGGTTCAGCCCCTCCGCTGGTGGGAGTGGGAGGGAGCCTGGCCTTGGCTCACCAGGGCTGTGTCCCCACTGCGTGTGGAGCCCGCTGTGGAACAGGGCACCTGGGGGACTGGGAGCTGCGGAGGAGGAGAGTGGGGTTCCCTACGGGAGGCATCAGCTCCTGGGAACCTGTGCACCGGCATGCTGGCCACCAAGACAGGCGCCCTGACTGCAGCATGGCCTGGGGCGGATGCTCTAGAGCCCCTGCAGCTCCTTGGATTGGAGTGCAGGAGTCTGGAACCCCAGGGCCCCAGGGTGGGGGCTTCAAGAGAGGCAGCGACACCCCACCCCCTCCTTGCCCTGGTGGGAACTGGGGAGTGTCCACCACTTCCAGGTTGCACAGCCCAGAGAACCAAGAAGACCTTATTCCATGCTGCCTCAGTTTCCCTGTGTGTAATGGGGCCAAGCGAGTGGCAGGGGTGCTGAGCTGTTGCAGTCACTGTCCACACTGTTAACCTCTGTTTGGGGTGCTGAGGTCCTGGGGTCACTCAGGGGAGGCTGGGGCCTGGAGCCCCTCCCCACAGCTCATAGGCACTGCCTGCAGGTGGGCAGAACTGAGGTTGTGCGGAGCAGCCTGAACCCCGTGTTTTCCAAGGTCTTCACCATCGACTACTGCTTCGAGGAGGTGCAGCGACTGCGCTTCGAGGTGTATGACACCCATGGGCCCAGTGGCCTGGCCTGTGATGAGGATGACTTCCTGGGGGGCATGGAGTGCACCTTGGGGCAGGTGGGAACAGGGTTTGGGGTTGGGTAGGCATCCACTCCGCCGGCTCCTTGGCTGCCCTCCCAAAGGCCCTGACTTTCGCTGTTGCTTGCTTGGGATGTTTGCATGTTGGTGAGCTGCAGGCTGGCCTTGGCCTTGAGCTTCTCCCTGCTCTGCCTCTCCAGGCATGAGCCACTGTGCCCGGCTTTTCTTATGCATGTTTTAAATACATACACCTGTGAGGTAGGTAACACATTTGTACATTTTCGAGTTCAGGAGCTGGGAGACAAACTCTCCTGCCTCATTCAGCCTGTCACTGGATCCTGAAACATTCTTTTAACAGATTTTCACACAATATGTATTTTTCCTTTTAAAAGAAAAAATTCAGCCAGGCCTCATAGTGGACCTCTGTAATCCTAGCTGCTCAGCTGGCTGAGGCAGGAGCTTTGCAAGTGCAAGCACAACCTGCCAACTTAGTGAGACCCTAGCTCAAAATACCATTGCAAAGAAGGGCTGGGGCTGGGGCTCAGAGTGAAGCGCCTGGTTCCATGCCCAGGGCCAGCACATAGACAAATTGTGCAGAGCGTACATGTTCTCCGCAGTCTGTCCTTCCACTCAGGCAGCTCCCTTCCAGGCCAGCACCATCTCTGGGGCCCGGTATAGCACAGGGCAGGGCAGGAACCTCCCTGCTGGGCTGTGGAGAAACTGGGCACGGAGGGCCCCTGAGGGCTGCACTTGCCGTCCCCGCCAAGCGGGATGCCTCCCATGCAGTCACCCTGGTGCTTTCCACACACAGTGCAGCCCGAGGGCCTAGGCTCCATGGGGATGGACAGCTGTGTATGCCTGCCCATGTCCAGCGCCTGCGAGCCGTCCCCCTTGCTCTGTGTTGTCTCGTGTCCGTGAATCACACATGTCCTCACCAGTTCTGCATCCCTTCATCCCTCTTCTGTGTGACTCATCCCTCTCGCTGCAGGCTGGGTACCATCCCCATTTTACAGACAAAGGGTCTTCGACGAGAGACGACGTGCTAGGGCAGATCCTGGCTGGCAAGGAGTGGGTACACACGTGGCACCCATGCTCACACCAGCTGGGCAGGACACACACGCACCCGTGCAGACACACAGGGACACCTGCATGCAAATGCGCATGTGAACACATGGGCCTAGCAGCGTGCCCAGCGAACCTCACCAAGACATTGGTGTCCTCAGCAGGGTGGAAGGTGGTAGCCCTCGGACAGAGCGTCCCCAGGCTGTGCTTGAAGACCCTCAACGACCCTGGGAGCCTCGAGGAGGCCTAGTGGGGGGCGGTGGGGGGTCAGGGCCGGCTACCCATCTGGGTCCTCAGGCCATGGTGGGAAGTCGTGGGACATGCTGGCATGTGGCCGTTTGTGAGTGCCAGCACTGCCACATGTTAGATGGCGCAAGGAAGTGTCACCCCCTGCCCACAGGGAGTCACTAGGGGGAGTTGTGGTCCCCAGGTGCAGCGGCCCCTGCCCCATGCCTGCCCGGCCCCTGTGTCTTCCAGATTGTGGCTCAGAAGAAGGTGACTCGCCCACTGCTGCTGAAGCTGGGCAGGAAGGCTGGCAAGTCCACCATCACGGTGAGTGGCTGCCTCCCCGCTCTCCCTGTGGGTCCCCTGGTGAGAGCAGGCAGGTGCCAGCAGCCGCCTCCCCTCCAGGTGATCGCCGAGGACATCTCCAGGAACAACGGCTACGTGGAGCTCTCCTTCCAGGCCAGCAACCTGGATGACAAGGTGAGGCTGCCTCAGCCAGGCCTGAGGGACGCCAGGCCCTCCTGCCTAAGCCCCTGAATAAGACCTGCAGCACCTCGGGCAGGGATGCGAAGGCTCACGGGTGGGCATCTAGGGAGCAGGGCACTGCTGAATAGAGCGTGGTGGCCCAGATGCCACCCCCACTGTCCCTGCCACCGTGAGAAAGCACTTCTGTGTCCTGCTCCCAGCAGGGACGCACACACTGCCCGATGGTGGCCCAGGTGGGCCTGTGGGGACCAGAATTGGGCCCTGGGTGCCTCACATGAGGGGGCAGCTGCAGCCTTCCCTGGAGATGTTGGAGCTGACCCTGGGCCAGGGGGTCTGCGGCAGTGGAGACAGTGAACCAGGCACAGGCTAAGCAACAGAAGCCAGGTGGGGGGCTGGGGTGGGACGGGAGAGTGTGTGGACCGAGAATGAGGCCTCGGGTCACTCAGACAGCATCAGGAGCCACCTGGCCCTGCCCAGTGCCTTCTGCCCCCAGGACCTCTTCAGCAAGTCCGACCCCTTCCTGGAGCTGTTCCGGGCCAACCAGGACGGCAGCGAGCAGCTGGTGTACCGCACGGAGGTGTGCCGACCCACCGACCCACACACAGACCCGACTGCTGACCTCTTGGCCTCCGGGCGGTGTGGGTGGGGCAGGGCTCCAGCTGCCGCTGGAGTCTGCAGGGTGCAGGTGTTGTCACCATGGCTATTTTTAGGGCTACCTTCTACTTCCTGCAGGGGTGGTGCAGGGATTTCAGTTACAGCAGGGAGGTCGTGTTTCATTTTGAGAAGGATTAATTTAAGTAAAAAGCAACTATTTAAGGAGGAAAGGGGTCCAGGTGGTCTGGGAGTGTGGAGAAGACAGGAGGGTGGCTCCCGTGGGTGGGCATGCCTTCGGGATCACTCCCAACCCTTCCTGCCTGAACTGGGGCAGGGCACAGCGGCCTGGTCCCTGAGACTTGGGGACCCCTGAGCCCCCTCCTGGCCCCAGGTGGTGAAGAACAACCTCAGCCCAGTCTGGGAGCCCTTCAAGCTGTCTCTGAGCTCCCTGTGCAGCTGTGAGGAGACCCGGCCTCTGAAGGTGGGGAGAGCTGGGCTTCGGTGGGGTCCTGGGTGGGGAGGGACCCTGCAGCACGGCTGAGGAGGCCCCATCCTGCCAGGGCCTGGTCTGGGACCATGATGCCCGAGGGAAGCACGACTTCATCGGCGCCTTCTCCACCACTTTCAAGGAGATGCAGGAGGCCTTTGCCCAGGGCCAGGTGAGCAGGGTGCCACCTCTCCCCCAACACCAGGGAGGGGCCGGCCACCACTGGGTGGCCTCACTGCCTGCTCGTGCCAGGCACAGTGGGACTGTGTGAACCCCAAGTACCAGCAGAAGAAGCGCAGCTACAAGAACTCAGGGGTGGTGGTCCTGACAGACCTGAAGGTGAGGCCTGGCCCCATAGGCCCCCAGGGCTCTACCCGAGGCTGGAGGGGCAAGAAGCTGAGGGCGGCAGGGGAGAGGCAGCGCAGCGGGCGGCCCTGCCCACGTGCCTGCCTGGAAGCTCCACAGGGTCCACTCCTTCCTGGACTACATCATGGGCGGCTGCCAAATCCACTGCACCGTGAGTGCCGCACACCTCTCCTGTGCCGCAGCCCAAGCGAGGGCGGGGTGGGTGGGCGGCGCCCCATCTTTATCCTGAGGGGTTCCTCGCCCTGGTGCAGCAGGAAGGGGCAGAGGGGTCAGGAACCATGGGGCCCCATGAGGCGACACTGTTGGGACAGAGACAGTGATAGCAAAGACCTGAGGAGAAGCAAGAGCGCTTGGTGCCAGCAACAAGGGGCCATGGGCTCTGGCGAGGGCCTGGCCCGACCCTAGGTGCAGGGCACAGGCCAGGCCCCGCTGGGGCCCGCGTCCTCCTGGGGTTGCTGCCAGGCTGCTGGTGGGGTGGCAGCATCCCTGGGCCCCTGCAGGTGGCCATCGACTTCACAGCCTCCAATGGCGACCCCCGGAACAGCTGTTCCCTGCACCACATCAACCCCTACCAGCCTAATGAGTACCTTCGGGCACTGGTGGCAGTGGGTGAGGTCTGCCAGGACTACGACAGGTGAGGGTGCCTGCTGGGTGGCAGGGCTGGCAGGGGAGGTTGGGTGTGGTGTGGCTGGGAGCTAGGTGGTGTTGAGCCCCAGGGGCATTTGCCAAGTATCACCACAGCCCCTCACCTGGGCCTGGAGCCCCTGGAGTCCCAAGAGTGTGGGCTGGGAAGGGCCTGCCCTGGGCACAAGGCCTGCACCAGCTTCTCCCTTCATGCTGTACCCAAGGTCAGTATCGTTTGGGTCTGAGCCTCCGTTTCTCCTGTGTGGCCTGGATGGTCCCTAGGCTGGGTCTCTTGGCTCTGGCCAGTATCTGGCCTCCCTCAGCCGTGGGATGCCAGGCTTTCCTGAGTGACATGTGCCACCTCTCTTCCAGTGACAAGAGGTTTTCTGCCCTGGGGTTCGGGGCCCGGATCCCTCCCAACTATGAGGTAGGAAAGCCCAGGGCCAGGCTTAGGGATCCTGAGCCCCTTCTCTGCAGGGATGGGGATGGAGGGAGACCCCACCAGCTGGACAGGATGACCCTTGACCTCCTGGGCTGAGGGAGTGAGGGCAAACTCTTCCTGCAGCCTGTGCAAAAACTCCACGGTGGGCGGGGCCTTGGAAGCTGACCCCAAGACCTCAGGCTCAGGCGAAAGGAGCTTCAGGCCCGCAGGAGCTGCTCACAACCTCCACGGCAGCCCCTGCCCGGAGCTCTTCCCTAGGGCTGTGGAGTGACCTTTCCAGCAGGTGGGGTCACAGGTCCCTCTTCTCACCCAGGTGTCCCATGACTTTGCCATCAACTTCAACCCCCAGGACGACGAGTGTGAAGGTGGGAGCCGGGCAGGGCCGGGGCGGGGTGTGGGAGGGGCCCCCAGCTGACCCTCTGCCCCTGCAGGAATCCAGGGTGTGGTGGAGGCCTACCAGAGCTGCCTGCCCCGCGTCCAGCTCTACGGCCCCACCAATGTGGCCCCCATCATCTCCAAGGTGGCCCGCATGGCCGCGGCTGAGGAGCTCACCGGGGAGGCCTCCGTACGTGCCTGGTGGGGATCGGCTTGGCCAAGGGTGGCCAGGCAGAGGCCCAGGGGAGGCTGTAGCAGGGCACGGCTGTGGAGGTGGGGCAGGCTGGAGGGGGCTCCGCAGGGGCCGCACAGGCCTGTTCAGACTGGGCTAGTCCGGTCCGAGTGAGCCCCAGGGCCTGTGCCTTGGTCTCCTGTCCTGTCCCAGCCCCAGGCTGCAGGAGGGCTCTGGCCGGGGCACCCGCTGCATAGCTGTGCAGCCGTCCTTTGTTGGTGGCTCTCACTTGCACCCACAGCCCGATGCTCAGGTCTCCGCACGCCCCCCCCCCCGCGGCTGTGCGGGCCGAGCTGCCTGCCGTCGTGCGTCTCCCCACTCTGCCTTCTGCACAAGCCATCGCTCCTGGGGGCAGCAGGAATGTCCTGTCACACCAGCCCCTCTACCTGCTCCTTCAAAATTTTTGTTCTTTTTACCTTAACGTATTTCAGACTACAGAAAAGTGGTGAAGATAATGCAGAGCCCTCTGCTGTGTACTTTACTGAGGCCATTGGTGGCCCTGGCCTGTCGCTTTCGGGTTATAGTTCTTTTTTTTCTTTTTTTTTTTCCTTCGGAACCCCGGGGATTGAACTCAGGCCCTTGCGCTTGCCAGGGAAGCGCTTATTCCACTGAGCCATCTCCCTGGCCCCAGGTTATAGTTCTTTGCATGTCTGTGTGACTGTTCTGTTTATTTTATTTTTTTTTATTTTTTATTTTTTGATGGACCCGGGGATTGAACTCAGGCCCTTGGGCTTGCCAGGGAAGCACTTATTCTACTGAGCCATCTACCCAGCCCCCAACTGTTTTGTTTATATTTTTTAATGTTTGATTTGCCTTTTTTTGTTGTGCCAAAATGCACATGGTTTAGAATTTATGGCCCGGTGTGGTAGCACACACTTGTAACCACAGTACTCTCACAGGCTAGGCAGGAGGATTGCAAATTCAAATCTAGTCTGGGCAACTAAAGACTTAGCAAGACCCCGTCTCAAAAAATAAAACAGGACTGGGATGCCCCTCGGAGCACAGGTCCCAGGTTCGGCCTCCAGCTGTACACTGTACAGCTGGCCAAGTGGCACACCCCTGTAATCCCAGCCACTCAGGAGACAGAGGCAGGAAGATTGAAAGTCTGAGGCTACCTTCGCCCACACGTAGGACCCTGTCTGGAAATAAAAGAGCAGAAAGCTTTGGGGACCCAACTCAGGGCTTGAAAGCCTCCACCTGTTGTAAAAATGCTTCTAGTTTCAGAATTTACTCTTCATTCCAAAGGGAAACCCTGGTTTATTTGTTTAGATATTTTAATTGATGGAAAAGTATTGTGCTCAAGACTGAGCAGTGCTTTTTTTTTTTTTTTTATGGTGCCAGGGATTGAACTCAGGAACCTGCGCTTGCTAGGCAGACACTTACTCTACTGAGCTCTCCGCCCATCCCTAGTGCTCTTCTGTAATTCTAGTAGCACACACACACCTAACACTGGGAGCAAGAGTGGTACCCTTGACTTTACATGTGTCTGCAGATTAAGGATGTTGTCTGAGTTACTTTTGTCGTTACTATCACAAAAGACCCCAAGCTGTAGGAGTTGAAGGAGCAGAGGTTTACTTGGCTCACAGTCCGAAGGGATCTCAGTCTATAGTCAGCTGCTCCAAAGCAGGGTGACTTGGCAGACTGCACTGCAGAGGCGAAATGGCCAAGCAGGGATGGCAGAAGGTGGCGAGGCCAGCAGTGGTGGCGATGGTTATCACAGGGGGCTGTGGGGACCTCTTGGCAGCCAGAGCTACTGTGACCCGTGTTCCTGCCGTGTCCCTGAGGTGTCGGCAGCACGCGTGCGTCTACAGACGCCGGGAGGCTGGGGTACCACAGCAGGTCCCCTGCTGCACCCAGCTAGTGCCTGTGCCCCCATCCGCTTGGCTGCTTTTCTGCAGCCAGAATCAGGTAGGCTCTTGGTGGAGCCCTTGGCTGAGGTGTCCCAGATGCCCAGGAAGGTGCCCACCAGAGATCATGCACTTGGTGAGACACAGGCTGGAGGAGGCCGCTGGCCATGGGGCAGCCTGTCTGTCCTTCCTTTCCTGCACAGTCCAGCTGCCAGCCAGAGCCTAAGGTGCCTCTGTCATCTTGTCTATGATTCCTGTTAGCCAAGTTTTTAGTAAGGTTGTGGATAGTTTTAGCTTTTTCATTTGTTACATTTTGCTTTTTGAGACAAGGTCTTGCTGTATAGCCTAGGCTGAGCTGTAGCTCCCAGTGACCCTTCTGCCTCGCTTCCCGAGGCTGGAATTGCACGCAGGCACTACCATGCCGGCCCCTGGGGTTCTGGAGAATGGAAATGGACTTCTACTTGAGTCAGTGCCCTTGCCTTCTCCAAGCAGGGCGGGCACCGGGAGAGGCGGCCTCCCACTCCGACCCTGGGTTCCTGGGGTAAAAGTTGGTTCAAGCATCCGGGGCAGCACAGGTAGATAGCCTCGTGGTCCCTGCAGCCCGCTGGACTCAGTGCTGCTTTCAGGGCGGGGCAGCTGTGCTGTTGTGGGCACTGGGGGAGCAGCCGGCGGGCTGGGGGCCCCAGTTCAGGCCCCATGGTCCCCTGTGTCCCCAGAAATACTACATCCTGCTGATCCTGACCGACGGCGTGGTCACCGACATGGCAGACACACGGGAGGCCATCGTGCGGGCGTCCCACCTGCCCATGTCCATCATTATTGTGGGTGTGGGCAACGCGGACTTCACAGACATGCAGGTGCTGGATGGTGACGACGGAGTCCTGCGCTCCCCACGTGGCGAGCCTGCACTCCGAGACATTGTACAGTTTGTGCCCTTCCGTGAGCTCAAGAACGTGAGTGTTGGTCCGTGGCCCCTGTCCTATCGACCCACATGGGTCGCAGGCCCCAGCCCTTGGGGCACCCTGCATGAGCGGCTGTGAGGGCCAAAGCCTGCAGGCCAGCACCCGTCCTGCTCCCTGGAAGCCCCTGTAACCCCCAGTGAACTCATGTTGGGAGAGGCCATGTGGCATTTGGGCATTGGGCCCACTGCATTTCGAGGGCAGAGGGGATGGTGCTCACCCCTGAGCAGATGCCTCCCAGTCACCTTGGTTGGCTGGGGCCTTGCATGGCCCCTGGGTCACCTCAGTGGTCCTAGGAACCAAGTTGATCCCCAGGCTTTGGCCCTGTTAAGGAGAAGGACCTCGAAGACCCCCAGGGTGATGCTTGCTCCCCTCCCCAGGCATCCCCTGTGGCGCTGGCCAAGTGCGTGCTGGCTGAGGTGCCCCGGCAGGTGGTCGAGTATTACAGCCACAAGGAGCTGCCCCCACGCAGCCTTGGCACCAAGGTGGGGGAGGCTGGACCCAGTGGAGCCCCGTGAGGACCCCAGTCACCACCTGGCCTCATGCTCCAGGATGCTGGGGTCCTTTCAGTCCTTGAGGCCCTCAGGGGCTGCCTGGCCCTTGGCCCATGTCCCCTCCTGTGTTCCTGCTGGCCGGGTCAGTAGCTGGGATCCCAGGGCAGGAGATAGGTAAAGACCCCAGGGACCCAAAGGGACCCCAAAAGAGCCCCTGCCACCCCACCTCCTCAGCCTGCTCTTCAGTGTCCAAGTGCCCTGGGCTGCTTCTGTGGGTAGGGCTTCCACATAATAAAGTGTTCCCCAGCTAAACTCCTGCTGGGCTCTTGTCTCAGTTACTTTCCACTCATACCTGGGACAAAATACCTGACACCCCAAATTAAGGAAGGAAAGGTTTATTTAGCTCACAGTTAGTGGAGGTTTCAGTCCATCCTCGGCTGGCTCCAAGGCAGAGCGGCACATGGCGGAGGGCAGCAGTTCATGGTGGGGGAAAGCAGCAGAGAGCAGATGGGGGGCAGCTGCTAGCCAGCCTCTTTCCCTCCTTACCTTGCGTGCAGATTTCCTTCCCAGGGCGAGCATAGCGCTCACACCCATAGGCCCAGCCTTAGATCATGCATTCATCACACACTCTAGAACTGTGCTCAACGGCTACAGAAGGCTTTGGGAGGACACCTAGACACAAACCATGACAGCTTCCATCCCCAAGGCCCAGCTCTACCCAGTGGCAGGGACCTTCTGTGTTCGAGGGACCTCAGCCTGCACACACCGCTTTTTGGACCTGAGAAGCTCCAGCTTTCAGAGCCTGTGGGGGTGTGGACTTAACAGACTTCTCTGAGTCCTCTCATCTGAGAGCAGCAAACTGTCCTGGCCTTGAGTCCAGGCGGGCCACCCGTCTGTCCATCCATCCATCCATCCATCCATCCTACCATCCATCCATCCATTGGGCTATTTTTAGTTCCTGATTCATGTCCTGTTCAGCAGGGATAATAGGTGTTGCCATGGTAACCTGGCTACCATTCTCGGAGGGCTGGTGTCTGTTTGGCAACCAGGAGGACATCAGAGAAATGCACTTTCCACACTGTGCAGCAGACCCTGCAGACAGGCGGAGGTCAGCCCGGGTCTGACCCAGAGTCCACAGGTTCTGCCCAGGGGTCCAGGGCAGCAGGTGATAGGGCAGGAAAAGGTGCAGCAGTGGGGCCCTGGGGCCTGGAGCCCTCCAAGGGCAGGAGGGGAGGGGTTCTGTTAGCTAGTGCTCAGAGTGCCTGGCCCAGGATGCACCCACTCCCTTCTCAGACAGCGGTGGGGGAATGGAGGGCTGGGGGGTAGAGGGTTGGGGGTTGGGCCCGGTGGAGGCTCAGAGCCTTTCCCTGTGGTATTCATACCATGTTCTGGTGGGGCGAGGGTAGGGACCCTACCAGCTGGCATGGGGCCGGTGGACAGGGCCCCCCAGCCCTTGCCCACCCTCTTCTGCCGCAGAAGGGCTGGTGGGCCCCAGGCTAGGGCGAAGGTTTCCAAAGGTGCTGCACTGGGAAGAGTGCAGCCGCCCTCCTCGGGACCCAGGACCCAGGACACCTCCTTCTCCCCTCTGGGGGAGGGACTGGGGCGGCGGGTCAGCTCTGCACCCGGCCATCTCAGACTCATCACTGGAGCGCTGATCTTGTGTCTGTGCTCTGTGTGCGCCTGGCATGACAGTGACACATGCGCCAGGATGGCCGGGGCCGCCGTTCCCGCGTGATCAGTGCGGAAGAGGCGCTGCTGCTCTTGTTCCTTTCATTCAGACCCTCCATCTCCCTCAGCCCCTCTCAGGGGCAGAGGCCGGAGCCTTTGCAAGGAGAGCGCGGGCAGGGGCTTCGGGCAGGGGCTTCGGGCAGGGGCTTCGGGCAGGGGCTTCGGGCAGGGGCGGCAGGCGGCCTTCTGGCTGAGCTGCTGCGGGCGGAAGCGCGGTGACTAAGCTCGGTAATTGGTGCGGGGGCCGGGATGTCAGACAGCTCAGCGGCTGCTGCACAGGGCAGGAACAAAAGCTGTTTCCCGCCGCCCCCGCCCGCCCCCAAGAGGGAGCGCGGAGACCCTTGGCGCACGCCATCTGCCTCCGTCCGTGGAGACCCGGACACGCGTAGCTTCCGTTTCCCTGAGCTGACTCAGGAACGACCCCGTGTCACAGGAGGTCGCCTGGCCTCAGCGCCAGGGCCTGTGTGGGCGCCTGTGTGCACAGGCGTTGTTGCTGTGTGTGCACCATGGCCGCGCCCGCCCGCTCCTCTGAAGCCCTTCCGCAGCCCGGGCCCCTCCCTAGTGCGGCCGCTGGGTGGATGTTTCCCCAGACTCGGACCTGAGCCTTGTGTCCTGGCTAGGGGAGGCACTGTGGCGCCGCCCCACCCACCGTCTCCACTGCCACCCTGTCTTGCCTGGCTCCTGACTCACTGTCACCCCAAGACTGACGCTAGGGCCCTCGGAAGACCACACAGAGCCGGAAGTCTGAGGAGCTCAGCTCTGAGCATCCGGGTCTGACATCCTGCCTCAAGCACGCTCTCTGAGCCTCGCCACACCTGCCATCCCTCCAGAGCCTGCTCTCAGCCCGAGTGCTGTCTGGTGGCTGGTGGCCAAGCGGCCCAGGTGTCCTGGCCTGCAGACAGCATCCTCTGAGGGGCATGCAGGTTGCATGGGGCTGGGATGAGGACACTTTGTTCTTGGCATAGTGCCTGGCACAACATTGGCATCACAACTGGCAGAAGGCTGATGGGGATGGAGAGGGATTTCCTCACCCACGCTGTGTGGAGCAGAAGTTCACTCCGCCGCTGTCACCTGAGTGTCATCTTCGCCCAGCCTTGGGGCTCAGTGTGAGCATGGCCCTGGCCTGGCCCCTTTGCTCCCTTGGAAGCTGAGACTTTGCCTTCAGAGGTGGTGACACAGGGATGTCCACTGCACTTTCTGAAGTCCCCACAAGGGCATATGTGCACATGGGCCATTGCATGTGTGCGTGTGTGTGCATGCGTGTGCACATGGGATGCACTTCTCCAAATCTGCTAGGAGCAGGAGGCAGCTGCACGGATGGGAGGAAGTGGGAAATACTCAAAGGAGCCCACATGGTGGACATACGGATGAGAGGACACAGGATAGATGGACGCAGGGAAGGATGAGTGGAGATTCTGATGGATAAATACAGGGAGGGAAGAACACAGAAACAGGTAGGCCCCTAGAGGACACAGGGATGTGTGGACGCATGGACAGGTGGACTCAGATGGGTGGATGCCCTCACAGATGGAATGTGCTGATTCTCCATGTGGAGGGAAGAAGCCCGGTGACCCCACTGGGCTGATCTGGGAACTGTGCACGCAAGTGCTAAGCTGAACTTGGGGCTCTACGTGCACGCATGCCTCGGAGGTGCACTTCTTGGGTCTGGGGTGTTTTTGTTTTTGTTTTTGTTTGTCTTTTTGAGACAGGGTCTCCCTATGCAGTTCAGGCTGGTATTGAGCTTAGTTTGTAGCCCAGACTGGTCTCAAACTCAGGGTGATCCTCTTGCCTCAGCCTCCCAAGCACTGGGATTACATGCATGTGCCACCACACCTGGTCTAGGGTCAGGGTTCTTCAGCCCAGGAACAGGAAGTCGCTCTCCCTTCTCCCTGCAGCCCATCTCAGTTCTGGCCACTCCACCCGTGTTCCGCTGTCCTGGGCATGGGGTGACCACTCTGGTGGAGCCTGTGGCCTCTCCCTGGCCCTGACAGCCTGTCTAGCTTGACATTGACTGCCTGCACTAGCAGGGCTTTCAGTCAGCCGCAGGCAGGTATGGCCCATGGGTGCTCACACTCCTGCCCTGGGCACTTCCTTCCCATGGGCTGTGGCCAGGGCTGGCACAGGACAGTGTGCACTGGTGTGAGGGATTCATCTCAGTCTCCTGGGACCACAGCTTTTTACCCCTGGGGATGAAGGAGTACAGCTACCAGTTTAGGGACCTAGGCTCATGCCAGCTTGCCATCTCCTTGCCACCTTGTGCTTCAGTCTCCTGTCTGTGATGGGTGAGCTGCAGGGTCATCTGCTGGGTGCCACCTCATGGCTCCTGGGTGACACTGCCATGGCCCCTGTGTGGCAGAGAGCAGAGCCCCTCCCAAGCAACAGGCAAGGCTGGTATCAGATCCCCAAGGCCATGGTGGGGTCCGAGTCCAAGGAGGGACAGGGGTCATGGAAGCCTATGGACCAACTGTGGCAGACTGTTAATGAAAATGGGGCACCTCTGCCCTGAATAGACTGAGCCCTGGGTTGAGCTCATCTGAAGCTGTTGATGTGGACCAGTCCCCCTTTTGGCTCAGGACAGCATGGAAGACCTGCTTCCAGAGCAGCAGGCACTGGGCGCCAGCCGATGGGCAGGTGCAGAGTGTGGGCAGGGCTGGGAGGGGCTCAGCAGCCGGGCCTCCATTCATGCCCCACAGTGCCCGCACCCCACTCCCTGCTGTCCCTGAGTGTGGTCCCTGCATCTGCCTAAGTAGGTGCTTTAATCTGCTGAGCTATCTGGTCAGCCGAATTGGTTGATTTTTTTATAAGAGCCATTCTTTCTGGGTGAAATGGAATCTCAATGTTGCTTTATTTTATGTGTCTTGAATGGCCAGTGAAGTTGAACATTTTCATATATTTATTTGCTATTTCTTCCTCTTATGAATAGAGACTGAGAAGTGTCTATTCATAACATATGCCTTATTATTATTTTTTAAAATTTGGTACAGGGTCTCACTGTACAGCTCAGACTCGTAGTGATCCTCCTGTTTTCAGCCTCTCCAGTGCTGGGATTACAGGCGCCCACCACCATGCCTCGTCTTGGTGGCTGGCTCAGCGCACCAGGGGCGGGGCCAGAGCAGAATGTAATGCAGGGAATGGGGATTGAACCATGGTCCCCGGGCTTGCCTAAGCAGGTGCTTAGTCTGCTGAGCTATTTTGCCGGCCCTGTTCTGTTTTTCTGATACTGGAAATCACCCTTATAAAGTTCCCTTGTAGGGTTGCTTTCATTGCACCCCCTAGGTCCCAGCGTGTTTTACTGCTATTATCATTTAATGTAGAAGCCCTCTAATGTTTTCTGTAACTCACCTGTGACTCATTGGTTGTTCCAGAGGGTTTTATTGAATTTCCATGTATTTATGGAGTGTTTATGGTTTCTTTCACCAATGACTTCCAGTTCCATCGCACTGTGGTCTGATAAGATGCCCAGATAATTTCAATTTCTTTGCATTTACTTAAGCATGTTCTATGAGCTGATATGTGGTTTATTTTGGAAGACATCCCATGTACAGCTGAGAAGAATGATGAGGTGGGGTGGATGT